CGTACGAACCCTTCGTATGAACAAAAGTAAGAGAAATTTAGGATAAGAATACAAACATGTTCTTGCATGAGGCCCAATGTCTGCATTAGGCGTAAATGCAGTAACAAAATGAATGGAAGTCAATACAAAGTCCTCAGTTTGATGGAAGTACAAGTGTGTATGTTTAAGTCAGTTCCTGAAATGTTTTCCTGCAGTGGCAGAGCCTTTTGTTTCCTTGTTTCTTTGAAGTTTCACTGGTTACTTCATACTAACCATCTTTTTCAACCTGTTCCACGACAAAAACAAACTTTTCGTACCAGACAAATTACAATTTTGCTGGTAATAATTATTCTATCTCAATTGGAAGAAAATAAATAAATAGAAACACTTGACATTGGCAAGTCAGCCATGAGGCGCTCTACCCTTTTAAACTTCACACACACAAATACAGACACAGACTTTATATGAGCCTTGGTTAGATTAAACATGCCATCAGCAGGATGTCTGTCTCTTGTCTGAGTAAAAAAAAAACAAAAAAATACAAAAAATGCTTAAACAGCAGGTCWAACTTAAAAAACGCAATAAGCTTTTAAATCAAATCCGATCTCTGCAAAATCAAGGATTCACTTTGAAGAGATACTGAATTCAATTCCATCAACTTTTATCAAGTTTATCATTTTGGTCCCCCATCCCCCATTTTCAGTTATTTCAACCTGCGTTATGAAACAAAATAACTCAAGGTACATCCATCAACATATTTTCTGGATAAGATTTTGGGRGTTCCCCAGATTTGTCTGATGTCTGGCTTTGGATTATTTTTACCACCTGTATAAATAGTCATCAGTCTGGTGTTGAGAACAATCCTATTAAAAGCTGAAAATCTCAGAGATGAGCATACGGCGCAGCTGATGGCCTCCTTGCTTCAGAGGAACAGTTTATTTTTTTCAGTCTTCTGAAAAGGATTCAAATAAATGATACCACATGAAGTGAAAATTTAGCTTTTRATTGTTTTAAAACAGCAAACAGACTGAAAGATTCAGGATGACTTTGGTAAAGAAAGCAAAGTATTTGATGCTAAGCTATTTTTGTAGGAGCTCGAATAAAAGATCTTCACACGCTTTATTGGTGGTGATATATCAGGAACTGTGACACCATCCAACCCACTCAAAACTTGCGCTGTACTGCTGTCGGACTGTAAAGGCCAGCAAAAAACATGCGAGCTGTAATTCCTGTCCGTTCCCGTGGTGACCATCAAAGCTTGCAGCCATTGGATGTGATCCACGACATGCACCGAGAGGACACACGTAGAGAGAGAGGCTTCTGGGAGAATTCAAAGGCCTCTGACTTTGCGGCCGGCCACCCTGTCGATACATGGAAGTCTCCCTATCTGAGTYGCCGTCGGCTTCTCGTCTGCATCTTGCCGCTAAGACTGTGTGAATTTAAACATCAGAAACCACAGAGAGACTTTTTCCTAGGATTTAATCTTTACCGAAGAGTCGCAGAGGAATCCTTTTAAAAGCCAGAGGGGCTCCTGAGGATACAATATGTTGCGACTTTGACCCTGATTATTCTCCACAACAACAACAGCTGTGGGKTTTTTTTAAACAAGTGTACAAATATGAGTTTTTAATGGCTTATTTTCCTGATGCCTGTTCCTCGCTGCCTCGGGGAGATGTGAGCTCTCAGGACATCAGCACAACTTCAAACATCTATGTTTTATTTATTTATTCCACTGAAACCACACGCATAAAATGTGACATAAACTTGCTCTGATTTTTTTAAAATTATTTTTATTTTTTTTATTTTGCAGTTGTGTCGATCGATTCGGCTCGAGCTCCACTCATGAGCTGTGAACTGTGTCATGTTCTCACTGCCATAACAGGAGCTCCGCCGTGCTTTTTATGTTCACATGAACAATTAGTACCTTTCATCGTTTGATTGAACTGCTTTGTGATCAAGCAGAACAACGGCAAAGCTCCTCTTCTTCCTCCATTTTCCTGTTTTCAGGAGTGGTTGGTTCTATTCAAGGATCGACAAAACATCAAGGTCTTCTTTAAAAAATTCATTTTGGGTTCATTTGGAAGCATTGTGCTTTTATATTTAAGGGTGACACAGCTTGTTAGCTAATTACATTAATATTGTACTCTAACAGTGTTTTTTTTAAACAAAATCTCCTTCATCCATCCATTTTTTTCCCACCTGCTTTTCCTTTCCAGGTCTCAGGCTGATCAGCAGTCACAGTATGAGAGGTGAGGTACTCCCTGGACCAGACACAAGTCCACACCAGAACAAAATCCCAGAAAACAGTTTAAAAATCCTTCATAAGATCACACAATGTACATCCAGCCAAGAAAAGCACAAACGTACGCAGCAAAAATTAAAAACAGAAAACCCTTTTACAAGATAATGTTTTCTAAAACCATTAATAGCTGAGAAAATAATTAAATACTGTATAAGTTCCTAAGTCTGCAGCCACATCAACCCAGAAAAATCTCCAAATACTGTCCCTTTGACTRAATAATGAACTAAACAAGGTCAGTCCTGCCTTAGCAGGAGGGCTCTAATGAAATTCCAGCTTCTTCACACTTGGGAGGGAACGATAAAATGGACCAAGAGCGTGGACCTGGTTAGACTAAAACCTCGGGGGCTGGTGGATGTGACAGTGAAAACCAACAAAAAGCAGAAACACATGAATATCAGAAATACAGAGACAAAACAAGACACTAGATGTGTGCACAAACTGCAGCAGCTCAAGTTTGTTTCAACCATTTAGTCTAAATCCAACAAGTGTTCTGAGCTGGCTGTAATCTAAAACAGGAGAGAARGAAATGCATTCTGGTGAAGTGATGTGTGTGTGGGTTTTTGGGCTTTTAGCCACTTGTTCAGTGTTGTGTTCATGCACCAAGAGGACCCCCTGCAGCACAGATGTAACCGCTGGACTCACTGCTGCAGTGCCGTTTGATTTCAGTAAAACAGGAGGCAAGTCTTACCTCAGACATGAGTCAGKATGAAGCACCGGCTGAGAAAAATTYTGATGWTGCAGTTCACAGGAAGCAACTCAGCTGAGGCTGGTCATCTTCTTCTTCATCATCATCGTCGTCGTCATCGTCRTCCTCCTCATCTCTCAGGCTCAGACGTGATGTTTCGTTTCCACCATAAYTGAGCCAAACGTGCGCGGGCAGCATGCTCCCTGCTCATCCGCAGAGAGCCGAGGTTGGTTCTGTCGATCCCATTAGCTCGAACAGTCTGTTCAATAAGCTGCTTCTCCTCTGCACCGAGAATAAACCGCTCCGCTCCGCGCTTCTTCTGCGTCGGAGGAGGAAGGAAGGAAGGAAGGAAGGGCGGAAGGAAGGAACGAAGGAAGGAAGGAGCAGCAGCGTCGATGCTCGGAGTCCCCTTTTTTCTTCCAGTCGCTCCTGTAATTTATCCAAGTCCGANGTCCGAGCGGGGGATGTGATGCATGCGGTGGGGTCTCTCTCTCTCTCTCTCTCTCTCTCTCTCTCTCTCTCTCTCTCTCTCTCTCTCTCTCTCTCTCTCTCTCTCTCTCTCTCTCTCTCGACGCTGCAGGGAGGCGCAGCGCCGCGCCGTGCGCCCTGCGCTCCGCACACGGACCAACAGCACTGCCTGCTGTACTTAAAGCGGCACAGCAGAGCTCACAGAGGCGCAGCGGGCTGATTCTGAGCCACACAGGTGACCATTATCATTAWACTAAAGGGCGGCACACACACTGATGATGGCGGGAGGAAGGGAGAAGGGATGTGAGGAACGGGAGGATTCCCGCCTTGTGCGCGTTTGGATTCATTTATCTCAGSAAAAAGGTAAATTAAAACAAGTCAGGGCGTGAAAATAATGTTGTGGTGTCTCTTGTGTAATTTTGTAAATCTCACTGCCAGTTTACATACATTCACATACCAAAATAAATAGTTTCATCTTTGGTATTATTTCTTATCTTTAGAAACCAGGCTGTCCAAAACAAAACAGYAAACATTATAAATAATTTGAAACAGAAATACCAGAAGTCTACACATGCCAACCGCTGCTGACAGCAATGAGAATCCCTATTCATGTTCAGGAGCAGCTGTGGAGTGAAGCAGTTCAAGGGGGGGTTCATGGGTATTCTCCCCCAGAAAAAAATATAAAAGATATACTCAAAACTTTGCATTTTCCAGCCACCTGAAGAGCATTCTACTAACTTTTTAGGATTAATGAAATAACATAAAATCAGTATTTTAAGGTAGAACACTAAAAACAAGAYKTTAACCTGAACTTWATCCAGGGTCATAACTGAAACCTCCATTAYCCTTATKTTGTTTTCTTTTTATGCACTAAGMAAKAGTAGTTAGTCTTGAGTGCTTCAYATGATACTTTTATCACAAAATATTCTCTGCACCATATAACCTYATGTAAAGCAGGCTGAGTAATCCACAGAACAAATTACCTTCATAAACCTGAGTAACCAGTTCTATACACTGATAAAAGTGATAAAATRATGTATTTTTSTCCCCTAGATGGACGGCACTCTTAGCWTTTGTACATTGACCCTTTTCACGTGATGTCCCTCTCTTAAGAAGGTGGCCTACTCTGCCATGACGGATGTCAAAACAATGCGCGTTAATGCCTGTTTTGTTACATGAACAAGCTGAAACTGCATAAAATAAGTTCTGTTCAGCAGACCTAATCATCCTCTGATAACTGCCCTTCACTAAGTAGTTTTGTGTTTTGGCCTGCTGTTTTGCACTCTGATTTTAATCCTTTCTGGAGCGCCCCTCTCTCAAACCCTCATCCAGATGTTCGGCCATGCGTGTCTCTGCTGCGCACGGGGCTTAGATTGGACTGTTCATCCATTTTGTTTAACCTCATATGTTTTTGTGAGGAATTAGCATTACAACTGTATCAAATCTTTGCAAGCAGAAAGCACCTATGCACRATACAGTGAAGTTTTTCAGTGGAGCTGTCTAAGAGGAGCAGTAAGTAAAAGATGAATGAAGAAGTCTTGTGTGTTTGACCACGATGGGAGGGTTAGTCAAAGCTGTCTGGGTATAATCTGACTTATTATCATTTGAATGCTGGTCTGTGTCCTTGAGGGATTGGCRTGCTGACTCAACGCGGGATGACTCTGCGTATTTCAGCAGCATCAATTCATGACTTGCTTGTTTGTCTGCTCTGTCGCCCATAGTGCTGTCATACACAATTATCTTCTCTGCAAGGCGACTCGGCTGCAGACTTTGACTCAGAGGTGCACTCTCGAAATCACCAGCACGCAGTGTGGATATTACTCATACTGAATCAGACAGACAGAATGGGACAGTGGCCAAAAAACAAAAAACAAAAAAAAAAAACACAAAACTGTCTAATGTTTGAGAAAGTCAAATGGATTTTGCTGGTTTGATTTGACAAAGTGTTTTGCTGGTTGCTTCAGAAGGATGCAAAACTATATATATATATA